AGCAGGAACGAAACCATCCCTGTGCTATCAGCGCTGTTTTCAGGACAAATCCAAAAGGGAGCCTCATACTAGCTACAACAAAGAAAACTAACTCTATCCCAGCCAAAACTAGCACACGCTTACTTCCAATTAGTATCTTGTATCATAAAAACAGTTCTTTGTTGTCCTTTTTCTGAGACTGCACAAAACACTAGATTATGGTTTCATTTAAGAAGCAAAAAATTACATACCAATAATTGTGTGTGATGTAGTCCTTCCTCTTCTCCCATGCTACTGAGCAAGAGTCCATACAGTAAAAGTTAGAGCTCTACCTACCAAGTACAGAGAAGTAAGATATCAGCCAAGTACAGGAGATGCAGAACAAAATAGTTTCCCATTTCAGAAACATATACACCTCTATAATCAGTTGCTTCAGTATCTCTATCCTCACAACACTCCTACTAACTTGAGTATTACTATTAAACCAAATTAAAGCACAAAGGTGATCTGCCCAACAATACATGCAAAATCTGTGGCAAGAGAAGGAAACTGCCAGTTTAAGTCCAAGTCCTAGGCTATTACCCTGACCTTTGGACCAGCCTCTCCTTTATCCCTACACCTTTGCAATTTAAAGAGTAAACAAAATCTTTAGTGATCATCTGAAAAATTTAAATATGCACAGAAGCATAACAAAAGCAAGGCTTCATTACTTCTATCACAAAACTATATAGTTTTCACCGCTGTTGTACAAAAACATGTATCTTTGTCATATCTAGAAAAAAAGAGCAAGCATGCACAAATACAAAACTGAAACACAGCAAAGCCAGAGAGAATCTTCCTTCACAGAAACTTTATGACCAAGATTTACTTTGCAAGATGACAATAATGAAAGTAATGACATTAATTAAATTGTTTTAATAATAAAGACTGAGTTTTTAAAACACATTTAAGGCAAAATAAAATTTGTTACACCACATACAACTACCAAACACATGCAACAATTCCTTTAATTACTTAAACCTAAAAGAATGCTCTGTTTCAACAGGCTGCAAAAGCTTATATGATAAAATATGAAAACAATTCAGATACTTTTCTAGACATGTCTGTACAGTACAAGACAGCCCAGTGTCTGCAACTGAAGTACATACCTAGAAAAGAAACAAGTGAAGAGGATGCATATGGACATCTATTTTTGTTTTCTATTGTTGCCGGTAATAATTTTTTTAAGAGTGCTTGCTCTCAAGATTGGGGGGGGGGGGGGAAGGAGACGGTTGACAAAGAACTTGGGGGATGTGTGTGTCAGAAAACATGTTTTTCTTAAGAAGCTGCACACTTGTTAAATTATCACAGAAAAGAACCCCACCTTAAACACTCTCAAGCCAAAATATTTTCACTCGATCCTAAAATATTGAGACTAAAATGCTGCTATGTCATAGAAACTGTATTTTAACCAACTCATAGTCTCTTTCTCTTTTACAGACTGAGCTCATAGCAACATAAAAGACAGGGTCATGAGGCAGATGAAATACAACTCCAGTGAGACACCATAATATCAAGTCAATAAAATGTTTCTTATTTCTGTCAAGCACCTTATAAAAGTTCAGAAGTTTTTGCTCTCCAGGTATACTTTAAAAACACTCTAAAATGAATGGCAATCTCTTTGAGAGCCTGGATACAGTTACTATTTGAATCCCCAAATTCCTACTAGATAAGCTTTGAGTTTAGGGTAGGTGACAAGGGCATAAACTTTGTTTAAAAAAACCCAACCAAAAAAAAAAAACCAAAAACCAAACCCCACAACTACAGATAAAGATGATGCAGTCACAAGGATAAATGAGAACATTTTCTGGTGCTGTTTTGGATATCTGACAATTATAGAGGAAGAGGCTTTGGCCGTTTGCCTCCCAAAATAGCAGACTGATACAGGAGGGGACCGTTGATGGGAACATAAAAGTTCTTGGTAAAAGACATAGGGGATGCTGGCAGACCAGTCCAGTCTGTAATCTGTTAATATACTAAAGGAGGAAACAGTTTTCCCATGCAATACAATAATGCATAAGACCTGCTGCATGTGATTCCAAGTTCTTCCCTAGAGCAATAAAGAAACCATGTGGACCTCTGTTAGCATAAACTTGAAGAATATGCCTATCACAGCAATTATTTCTTCAGATTCTTTCTTCAGATTCTATTAACTGGCATACAAGCATGCCTCAGAAGCTAAATTCTCAGTAAAAAAAAAAACAACAAAAAACTAACTTCATAGCCATTATCAGATGCAATTAAAAGCTTGCAAATAAACAACCTTCCCCAGACTTCCCTGCATTATCTCCAACAAGCACTCATCTCAAGAGAATACTAAATTTAAAACCTAATTAATTAAAATGTAAGTATGTTTCTCTATTGATTTACATATTAACATACTCAAAAAGGTATTAGCCATTGTGTAAAACCTCTTGGTATGTGAGAGCAAGACTGCTGCTGCTTTAGAAGCAACGTGTTCAAAACTCCCTGATAATTTCAAGCAGCATCTGTCTCTGTCCAAGAGCAGTATCGAGCCTAGCTGTAGCATCTCCCTTCTTCCACTACTATGCGAGCGTCAAGAGCCCAAACTCAGTGTGCTAAACATAACCGCTGTTTGAAACAGCTCTACAAAAAAAGCTGTCAAGGAGACAACAGCTATCTGTAGCGTAATACAATATAAAAAAAAGGGGGTTTTGTGAGTTTTAGTGGGTTTTTTTTTTAATAGTAGCACAGGGAGCACAGCATTATGCAATTCATTAGAAGTTCTGCTTTTGGGATTGACAAATTCCCAGTCTGCTTTACAAATAAGGTACTTGAAATTTGATCCAATTCTTATTAGACCATCAACTTACAGTACATTCTTGATTCACACTCGTTTCAGATTCATGTAGCAATATGCTGCCAAAAATACACTTAAATACTTAAGGGAAAAAGTCACTTAGCAGGATTTGGGCTAACAGAGAAGATATTTTACCACTGTTCGTCTTAGGAGAAAGCCGATGAAGAACTACCTAGGCCAGTTCTGGAGGTTCACTTAAGCAGGGTGCTTTTTCTTTTTGCACAGCCACAAGTATAGTGATGATGGTTAGCATGGGAAGGTAAGCAGGTATTGCATCCCCCCTCTACCACTCTAATCCCACCCCCCAAACTGTCCTTGATGACATCTGTAGGAAGAAATCGAAGCTATGTGTAACAGTGAAAGATGGAAAGCCAGGTACTCCTCTTTAGGCATGCATGCGTGTGCTACGGTGACGTTGAGTTATAAGGTGGGCTGCAGACACAGCAGAGGGCTAGCAGGGCCAGAAACATCCCTATTTGGACTGGGACAAAGGCACCTATGAAGCGCTGGGGTTTGTTCCACCCCTCGGGCGTAGGGGGCTGGCAGGCACCTCTCCAGGACACGACGGCTTCGGCAAGGGGCACTAGCTCCCGAGGAAGGGCAGCCTCG